TCCCCGTCCCCATCAGATCTCATCATCATCACAAAAATGATCATCATCATTCTTCACCATATTACCAAGACCATTCACTTAAGAGTGCATATTATTTTATAGTAGTCTAGGTAATGCTCCCAGAACCTTGAAATGGTTTCAAATTGGTGGATTACCTTAAGAGGTGTAGTGTTCCTGCTCTCAGAATCCAAATATCTTCCTAAAGTATAGATCAATTTCCTTTCTTTATCCAAGCACATTTTATGGCAAGATCTTGCACATGGTCCACCATCTAGCTCAGTGTTCCTTGACAGACATGTCCAATGTCCTGTCTCGACACTATACATCCAGAAGTCAGAGAGATCAGACATGCCATCCCAGCCACCGAATAGAAAGATTTGCTGGGAGTCTGAGTCCATTACCATCTGATGACCACCTCTCATTCCTGGTCTTGATGAGCTCAAATCTTTATCTGGTCAAAGATGGAGAGGTATTCACATTAAGGGACAGAGATTTAATGAAAACCCTGCCTGGACTCTCCGGCTACAGTAGTTCATGATCTTGTCCTATTATTTCAAGACTTCATGAAAACCCTGCCAGGACTCTCTGCCTTATTTGATCTGTCACTATCATTTCAAAATTTAATGAAAATCCTGTCTAACTCATTTAATAACTATGACTAGATGAAAATAAGTCATCAAGCACTCCAGATTGGAAATTAATTTACACAACATAAAAAAATCAAAGTCACGTTAAGTATYCACTCACCATCAACATGAGGTAAGATTGCCTTCCATCTTGGTTTATATTCCTGTTTGCTCAAGTAGTGACTAAATAACCCATCTAAAATAACAAAAAAATAAAAATAAAAATAMYTTTGAAAGAGAAACTGGGAATAAGTAAAAGGTTTGAAATTAAAGTAAATATTAGAAATGGCAAAAAGCATCATTGGGTTAATGAACTACTTTGATGATATGGCCACCATCTTAGATCTCAAGGCATAAGTATGGGGCATCTTGGGGGAAAAAAGCTTTATACAAACCTTCTGAAGCTTGTCCAATCAGGCTTTCACAGCCATCGAAATCACCCTTTGTCACCTACCAAACGCAACAAAAAACTTGAGCAATTTTGCAGGAATACATGCAATAAGCTAGAGAATTTGGTAGATTGGTATGCAAAGAACTACTGCAGTCATGAAAGTGGGAGGGACTGCAACTTGAAAACTTAGCAGATACAGTGTATTAGCAAAATTGTGGGGACTACATGTAGGCTAGTAACAAAGTCCCCCACCCCACCCCTGTATAAGACATCATGATGGCTAAGTACTATACCAGTCTTTCATGTAGTTCAGTCAGCGTGGGATGTTCCAGTGTTATTCTTGTCTTTTTCTGTAAGGATTCAAATGCTTCTGTGTAGTTGTGCTGTCTGAAGTGTTTCAGGCACAGTCTTATGGCTTCTCTCTCACGATACTGAAAATCACAAGAAAGACAATGTTCTAGACCTAAATAGTTACCACCACTATCATTATGCATCAGTGAAAGTAACAGTAGTGAAGATGCAATGAAATACTTCACTCTTGGAGTACATGTACTTATTTATAATAATACAGTGTATCTATTTTTTTCTATTTTTGGAGGGTAACATATTAACTGGAACAATCAGCCAATCACATATCGTGTATTTCTAATCTTTATTTCRACTTCACRTCAGTTCTATAAAGCTGTTACCTGTAAGTGTGACGTAATTTGAAGAAAAAATGACTTCCAGGTCCAAATTAAAACTTACTTCTACWGCCATTTTTTTGATTTATTTCTTCATAGCATGATTTTATGTTCTTATATATCTAATTGTTGAAGGTAGAGAATAAATCCTGGGAATAAGTTGTGGCAAGATTTGAGCGATATTTTGTGTGATTGGACCCGGAAATACAGTACGTCACAACTTAAAAGCCCTATAGATAATACTAAAATGACATTGGACAATAGTGAAACAGAGTTATCTTGTATGCATTTTTAAAATAAATACYGTAAGTAACCTTACAGTTATCTAACTTATGGCCATCTGAAAAAGCACACGGGAGGGGAAAAACTATATTCCATAACAATAAATGCTTCCTATTTCAGACCAAGGATCATTCCCTTCAAGACTATTTCTTTGTTTACTTACAGTATTGAACCATTCCAGACAGGGGTTCACTACAATAGGATCATCTACACCAGCAAGGTTGACAAACCAAATACTAAAGTTAAAGCTTGGKCCCCACGACAGGATAGGAACTAGAAAGAGAAAAATAGAAAATGAGAAAACCATCAATAACAATTAAAACTGGGGCATAAATAAAATGTGTGGTAAACCAATTATTCTCTTAGTAATAAAGTGCACAGCATATACTATCTGGTGAACAATTACTAGCCATGTATTTAGTTATCAACTATTTGGTTATCAAACAACAAAGAATTTACTAAGGCAGGAGCCAAACAAAGACATGTAAAGGTGTTTGTGTTCTGCTGACCAGTAATATACACTATTAATTTGTACAAAATAGCTGCAATTAGACAAGCATCCATCTTAAATTGGTTTTGTTCCTACCACAAATATATGGCATGCACTCTATAATTGCATAAAATTATAGCAATGGATGTCAGGAAAAAGTACGCTGAACTAGTCCCTCTCATCAAGCCTGAGCCTGACTATGCTTTGCGAACAACAAAAATTGCTTCCAGAAAAGGCAATAAGCTGCAAATGTTACTGTTCTACAATGTCATTACATTGACTTTCAATACCAATATTTGGCATATACTGTAGTATTGATAGGGAATCAACCGAACAAACAGCTTGAACCGGCTAAAAATTCGAACCTGAAGATAGAACCAAACAGAATCTTTGTGGAACAGATTTTTGTGGAAGAGAAAACTTCCAGTGATTGCGATCAMATCACAAACAACAATAAAGAAAGGTGCGAACAAATTGTGAGCAGATCGCATGCAGATCGTGGGCAATTGGTGCGATCAGCCTGCGATCTGCTCGYGACCAAATGTTCCCAAGTTTCTGGGCTGTATTGTAGTGAAGGCTACGTATAAACTTTTGAATAGATGCCTTGTATGTGATGCAACGCAGCTCAATTTGGAGGACAAAAAAAAAGAATTTTAATCTCCTGAAAATTGGAAACCTAATGTTATGTCCTCCAAATTGAGCTGCATTCCAATATGCTGCAAGGGGTCTAGTGCTACAGGATAAAAGGTATCTAAAATGCATAYTCACCAATTTTGATGTAGCGACATGGAAAAGCCTTCCCTTCCAGTTCATGTCTAAGGGTAAAACTCTCTTTGACGTGATCATTCTTAAGGCCACTGAAAAAGCATAGCATGGTATTAGTTACAGCAGTTGGTTTATCTCTTGTAATAATACGATTACATTCCTCTAAGGGTGCAGTCACTAATTAGAGGAGTACTGGTGCAAAAAAAGGTTATGCCATGCTTAAATTTGAATAAGTCCTCAATCCCCTATTCATACAGCACAGTTCTCATAATATATACTTCAGAGCTAAAATACATGTAACTGCTGCTTATTGGACAATGTCTAGCCAGATTTGGTACTTGTCTGTTCAAATCTTTGCCTTGCTGGCCATTTTGACCAATAATATTGAAAATAATATTCATACAGGTATGGCCAAGCTAAAACTAATTTCACCAGTCATTTGGATCAGCATCTGATGGCTTTAATTCAAGGCGTGATATTCGAACAGTAGATGTTTACACAACTCCCTATTAGATTTTTTAGAGCAAAAGAAATTAGCAGCCTTCCTTTTATTTTGATCAGCTCCCCCCACCTCTATAATAATAATGATGGTTCCTAACGGTATGATTGCAGAGATGAAGGGAAGTCTTGGTCATAGGGGGTTACATGTATATGCTATTTTTCCACCAATACACACATGTATACACCTAATTCAAAAAACGTTGTCATCACCAAAGGCAATAGGCAATAGGAGATAGGCGAAAAGTGATAGGATATACAGTATGTCATTCCAAGATCCAAGAATAGCTGGAATGACTTGTGTTTCTCATTCTTATTCTCGTCAAGAACATGGACCTTCGTGCTGGGACAAATTCAATGTTCTTTGTATTCAACAAAATCATTTCCATGTCAGAATGACCTATCGCCTATCACCTTAGGCGATGACAACGTTTTTCGAATTAGGTGTATATTTCATTAGAATTTCCCACCATATCTACAGGTTTAGTAAACCTATTTTTTGGCGGCAGTCACCCCCTCACTACGCCACTGACATGACGTGTAATGTACTGTGACAATTCATATACTGTACCTGTGAAGCAGCTCCATCATATGTTCATCATGTAATCCTCCATAGACCTTAAACTTTCTAAGGTTACACACATGGGTTTTCTCATACTTGCCAAAGGTAATGGCAGTGGTGATACCTGGTCTTGTTAGCTTTAATGTTATAAACTAAACAGATCAAAGAGATTTAATTATTAGCAGTATGGTAAATTTCAATTAAGTTGATGACTTGACTGTGCCCTGGCTTACAGCATGATGTGCAAAAATAAACCACTTTTAATGTATTTTCATTGTTACGGCTGGGGCAATCTTTCGAGTTTCCCCGGGTCGGCCGTGTTAGAACAGCAAATCACTTACTGAGATTCCATCATTCATTCACTGCATTTATTAGAATCACGTAAAGACTGGGTAAAATACAATAAGGTATATCTGTATTAGTTAAAACCGCTTACAAATAGAAAAATGTGCTTGATTAGGGAATGATTATGCAACACGTGGTCTAGCGATACTTAGAAATGAATGCTCAGTCAACTATAGGCAGTTTATGCTGAAGAATAATAATATTGATAATTTCTTGTAGAAGAACTAAATATAATGAGTTACATACCTCTGTGCTACTTGGCCGGATAGCAAATTAGTTAATATTCTAAGGAGCTTCTTTCTTAGTTTAACTTTCCTTCGACACGCTACATCAACTTATCACCCAAATCAAACTATCCGATTACGGTTATGTGATACGAGCATAATCACTGGTAAATCATTAACATTCATACACTGGCTTTTTACTGAAAAATGAGCTTTTACATACTTTATTTGTATAAGCAGAAAGCATTGAATTGAAATGTATAACATTTGAAAGCAAGAAAGCATACAGTAGCAGTATACAAATACATTATCACCCAACATGCTTTTGTACTATAAAGAAATTGAATCTTTCAATGTTTAATGAAATTGGCTACAAAGTTTTAAAATCTCTGGTTTTGACTCTTAGACAGTAGGGAATTAGGRCAGATTTCAAATTGACTGTTAAAACATTATTCAATAGACCTCTTCGGCTTGGAGTAATGTTTTCCCATTTCAGACCATGTGTCATTCCCTTGAGAATAAGATTCTTTGTTTGAGCTGTATCCATATTCCCTTTATTCTGAAAAGCCTTAAAGAGGACGAATAAAGTATGTATGTATGTATATTCATGTGTCTTCTCGTGTGCAACCGAGCACAAACCTCAAACAAAGAAATGATACTCTAGGGAATGACATGCGGTCTGAAATGGGAAAACATTACGTCAGAGCCGAAGAGGTCTATATACAGTAGACATGCAGTGCTGTACCCATGAAGATGATTGTCCAAGAATTATGATAAGTAACCACAACAGATGTCATCTCTGCACATGTACCATCGAAGCTATGTGCCATAACACTTCACAAGYACTTGAAATGTACTCAAGTATTAAGGTGTACATTTCCACAATATATGAAGCCATTTAATGATACCACAGGGATCCCATATTACATAACACATATATAAATGACATTTCCGATTCTATGGCCTTTTGTTTTATAATTCGATTGCAAAAATATCTATTATAATGATGCTTGAGCATCTATATTCATAACATGAAATTTAAAGACGTATAATATAAACACATTTGCCAAAAATTATGACGTTATACGTAGTAATAAATTAATCATGAACAAAAATTGAATAATTTCATACAAATTCTCTCAAATCAGAGCTAACGATTAAAGATATAKTAGTGTTATTGAGGAAATATCAAAGAATGGAAGCCCCTGATGTTGTAATAAGAGAAATACTTGAATAAAATAATACCTGTGGAGGATAGTTACTGTCAGAGGACCATCGTGACGATTGATYGTTTGGTTTGTCAACCAAAATGTTCCTGAAAAAATAATTCGGTTGTGAAAATTTTAGGTCTTATATTACAACGAGAAGTGGAAGGAATGAAGCTTCCAACAGTGGCTTACTCTGGGAAGTAATTGGCTGAAAAACTGGACCATTTGTGGATTGTAAATGGTAGTGTGTGCACTTTTGCGGACAAATCCGCCATTTTGGCGCATTTTCATGATAGAAATTATGGGTACTACACAGGAATCCCATGAATGGTTATTAATTTCATRAATTCCGTTATTTCATAAAACTAATTTCTCTTTAAAATTTTGTTATTAACAACATGTTGCTTGAAAATAAATGGTACTTGGACTAGAAATAAAAATAAAACACCCGATATGAAGTAAGTTTGACTAAGATCAAGGTGTTACGTAACTCGTTAATATTTCTTTGCATGGGTTCCCTGTGTTTCGTTTCAAACATGGCGGCTTCAAGGATGGCTACAAGACTTCTGTCTTTAAATGGTCCCTTTTTGAGGTCTTCCTTGAACTCTACTGCTGCAAATCAGGTGTGTGTTTYATAGGAGGGTAAAGGGGTTTATCGATTCGGTATGGCTGGTGAATTTCTTTTCAATCCTAAGCTACAATGCAAGGAATTCTTCTTTAACACAAATATTGCACATGTTAGTGCTTGTTTTCTGTGTTTAAATATCATTGTCTTACTACGATGCTTTCTTGTTTGCTGACACAGGTGAAATCCCTCTGTAGAAGAAGCTTCTCAACGTCTGGTATTTCCGGAACAATTTCCAAAGGTATAGACAAAAAGCAGCTCAATGTTTCAACCTTACCTCATTATAATCTAAATTTATAAACTCATTTTAACTTGCCTACAACACTTTTGTATTACCTATAAATGTAAGTTTGCTTTTAGAAATAGTTCTTGCATTGTCRAAATGAGCTACATGTACCTTAAACAAAGAGTAATGCCTGATCTTACTGTAGCTTGGTATGAAATGGCCCCGGGGGGTACTCTTGCCCGTTTAGGGTAGGGATGGGCCACTGAGCCCTCTGAACCCTGACCCTGTTTCAGAGTAARATCGCTGAAATTCATACCCTGTTCCAGAGCAAGATCRCTGAAAACCATAACCTTTTCCAGTAGTGYGAAAATAGATACCCTGTTCCRGAGAGGAGAGAGCGTGACTTTTCATGGGCTAAATTATAGGTGGGATGGAGTTGTTATGATAAACTGAGACTACTTATGGATGGGAAGATAGGGGTAATTGGTCAGCAACCCTAAACTACATTTAAACCCCCTAAATGATAGCCCTGGCAGGCCCGTAGCTAGGATTTTTGTTGGTAGGGGGGGGGGGGGGTGCTAATTTACAAAAAGTGGACCAACCATATACTTTATTTTTTWAAAGTCCCATAGGACGCATAGGTATAGATAAATTATTAAAGTAAAATTGATTTTTTTACTTAGTTTTACATGAAAATATCATACCAGCCAAAATCTCACTTGCTTAAAAAGCGGACCTTTAGCTCGCTTGGGGGGGGGGAGTGCGAACGCACCCCCTGCACCCCCCCCTAGCGACAGGCCTGCCTGAGGGCCTCTCATAATGTAAAAAATTACAATTCCATGAAGAAATTAATTATTGTTTTTCTTTAGGTATTTATGGATTACATAGCATTACAAGAGTAAAAGGATTTCAAAATAACCTCCAGGTAATACCAGCAAAACAGAAAATTTTAAACATGCAACAAACCACATTCTCTACTTTACGAAACCAAATCAAACCAAACAGTTTGACGTCATCTCGGATTGGATCCTTTGCTAGTGGAGTACGATATCTTCCTACGCTAAATCAAGTACGCCGTCAGAAACCGCGTACTAAGAATATGCAAGCCAAACCCTTTATACCACGATCAGAGAGAATCCTACTCGGGCCACAGAGGAAAGGAGTTTGTATAAAAGTCTTCATTAGAAAACCAAARAAACCAAATTCTGCACAGAGGAAATGTGCACTGTTGAAGCTTAGTAATGGCAAGACAAYATCTGCTTATATTCCCCACGAGAAAGGACAATTACAAGAGCATGGTGTTGTTTTGTTTGAAGGAGGTCGTGTTCAGGATTGCCCTGGAATAAGGTTTAAAATCATAAGAGGCAAACTAGATATGAACTGATAAAGACTCTTTTCTAGTTGCAAAAGTGATAATTTCCTTGCAGAAACAAAGTTTGGCTCGTCGAGGAAATTGAGCGTTTACTTTGATTAGAACTTTGTTTTGTCACCATTTTCTTATACAGTGGCACAACAATGAAATCATTGTAGAAATTGAAATTAGATTAARATCGTGGTATCCTGTAACATCTTCTTTGCTGTATCTGTAATGCCCTGTACCACTAGATACTTGATTGAGTACAGTATTGCTTGTGTATACTAAATGGCACCTCTATTTCTGTCTCTTTTAACTTGGTCCAGACATTACATGTATGTTTATGCATTAAATGAATGGTGGTGGTTTAAAACAGAGCAGGTTGAGCAAATAATGCCAAAGCCATATGCACTTCCTCACATGATGAGGGTGACCTGATGAGGGATAATCATGATTATGATTAAATGAATGCACTCTTTTTCTTCCTAAACAATATATATCATCCAAGTTTATTAGTTTTCAAAAGTTGTACRTCATAAAAATACTACTTGGTTCCCTTTTTAAGAATACCTTGCAGGGCTCAAAATAGGACCCTATTTTTAAAACTAACAGCCTAAAATTGCAGGGAAACTTTTACTCCACCAAAATTATTTGTCCTGCCAAAAAGAAGAGAAATTTTTTTTTCTATTTCAAGCTCTGCCTTGAACTCTAGGTTACTACTGATCTTTTGTTTCTTTTTGGTTTCTTATAGTAATGGCTTAGCCATTGCTCTTTGTTTCTAGAAGCTCTAAGTTTTTGAGATAATTTTTAAAAAAAAAACATTTTGTATAAAGCAGGGATGGATCCAGGGGGGTATAATAATAATAATAATAACAACTTTATTTAATGAGGGTGGTACTAAATAGTGTACTACACTAATAAACTTGTGGCCCTCCTTGTGGGTATGCTGCAATGCACCAGACAATCTCTTACAACACTGAGTCACACCTGTGTTGAACTGGCCATACCATCCCTCACCTCCAGCTTGTGATTTTACATTACTTATGCTTTTTTTGAAGCAAAGGAAACATTAATTTTAAGATTCATGATACCTCTATATACATTTTTTCATTTGAGACACCCCCCTAACAAATTCCTGGATTGGCCCCTATAAAGAATTATACTACTAATTTACTACWAACAGTATTACCCCACCACTAGGAAGTGCCAATGTCCCTCTTTGTAAGAGCTAGAGCTTAGATTATGTTCTGATTCCCATATAGTCTTTCCCTTGGTTCTGTTGAAGAAATATAAAACACCTACACATGCTTTGTGCAGTTAAAATGCACACRGGGATTGCCAGAACGCAAGAGAAGTGTTAGGARARGCAAAACRTGTAGCAGAGTGTTCCCAAGTGTTCTGCAAATCTTCAAGTGCTTTTTTACTCCACACAGCATAGCAAGCAAGTTTTTTTCTTTTTTAAATACAAATTACAATAACCGTTATGTTGGATRRGAATGGTGCAACTGAAAGTGSGTGTTCATGCTCATGTGCTCTCATAAAGCACGCACTCTCAATCAATCAGAGCCCAAGATTTCTAACAGTTATTTTATGAAATCATATATTATTGTACATGTGGCACACTATTGTAAATATCTCTGGAGCCTTCTAGCATATCCAGTGTGTGCTACACTCATTCTGAAGCAGACCAGAACCTCTGGCTCTGAGGCTATTTTACYTGTCTAGAATTTACTTTATAAATTCTGTATATATATATTTTTGTATTATTTCATTCATTCTCATATGAAAACTACAGTTGATATCAAAAGTTTTGAACTGTAGTCTGTTGATATAAGTTTATACTCTTGAACTTCTTCTCAGCACAGCATRGTCTGTTTGATGTAAGCAGTGTACCTGAGCTTGGTTCCCAATTTTGTCAAAAATCGTAAATGAAGAGTATCCTCGTCGCTGAAGGATTTGATGAAGGTTTTCATCAACCATCTCAATCACCACAATGATATTTCCTTTTCTCTCCAACTCTTCCCAAAAACTATTTACTTGAGGGGAATCAATATTGATTTTAGCTACTTTGGCAAARTATGACAATATAATAACATCAGTTGGCATCATATTCCTAAGGGCTGTCGCATCCAGCTCTTTATTGACGAATTCAAAGTCTAAGGACTCAACAAATGGCATCCAACCAAGCTCTGAGTCATAGCCCATGAATCTAGGAGAKGTTTTTCTACCGTTGCTACAGTTGCTGCTGTAAGGCAAAATCTCATCACAGAATATCTTGAAGCCCCACATCTCTGCTCCAGGCCCACAACCAAGGCTGGTGACTTTGGTAATATCCCTGAACAATTCCTTGTTAAATATTTCTTTCTCGATTGCTGTTTTGAAAGCCTGGCATGATAGTTCTGATCTCAGACCAAATAACTCCAGTGCATAGTAAGCTCTAAAGTTTTGGCTTGCATAACAAATTGATCTCCACTGGTAGTTGTTCTTSACTCCTGATTTATAAAGGATTTTGCCTTCGCCTGTATTCTTGAGGAAGTATTGAGCTATGTCTTGGAATCTTCGCAAAGCTTTCTCATCTTCGATTTTCAGTGGTCTTGTTTGAATAGCTGTATTTTCAAATTCGCCCGACATTGCCATATCCATTCGTTTGGCCTTTAAAAATCAAATCAACATCAAATAAAAGAGACTTGAAGTTGATTTTGACAAGTYCATGCACGCTATACTTCGTTTATGTAACCGATTTCCGTTCAATAAATCTAATAAATGCACAGGCAGGGATTGATATATGAAGTCTTTTCCTCCTGTACCAACTTCCTATACGTCATATTTCAGTTTCGTCTCATTGAATACCACTGAAGCGAGGAATATTTGATGTGGCCAAGCTCTAGTTGTCACGAGACACGAAGTAGCGTCCTACGGACCAGCTTTAACTTTCAAAAGGATTTCGAAGGATTAATTTTTTCCGTAGCGGAAGTCATATTCTATACTCACTGTAACTTTAGCGCTCTCGAAAGTTGTTCCCCCAAACAAGCCTAAACATATCTATCAATATTTTTTCCCCGATGTAATAGCGCGTATAGACTGACATGTTGAAGTACTAGACGCCCTTTTTTGGCATAAAAATAACAAAGAATAATGTATAGGAATGAATCGCGTGATACTGATAACTCTGTATTAATCGTCAGAGATTATAGAATTCAAAGAAAATCGTTCTTTTCGATTTCAGTAGGGAAAACCCCTTGACTGAAACCGGAAGCGAAAGAGAACAGCTTATAATATCACCTATAACTGAATCCCTTTTATCCCTCTTATACTTCACTTCCAAATAAGATATTCATCGCCAGTCAGATATATTTATTCTTCCTTCTTAGGAGAAAACGGACCCGTGGTCTTGATCACTTACCTTTTTTTCTGGGGGGGGGGG